ACACTGTAAACCTCTTAGGGAGTGTTATCCATGGATTCAAGCATCCACGGCTTGAAAATATTCCAAAAAAGTATAAATTCCAAATATCAAATCTTGACATTTGTTAGGTCACTGTATTTAATGGGACTTGAGCATCCATGGATTTTGTTACCCATGGGGGATCCTGGAATCAAACCTCAGCAAATAACAAGGACTCACTGTAATTGTAACTGTATTTGAATAAACTTGAAATAGATCTGCAATAGTAGTAAAGCAGAGTAAAACAAACCCTACAAGCAAGTTCAGGTATATAGATAATATCATGTTTGATGCTAATATCATGCCAATAGTATATGACAGCAACAGTAGAAGCCATGTAACTACAATCCTTACCAATCTTCCCCCAAACACCACCCACATTACAAACAGTATTTTATTATATTTTTTGCAACAGGTATTTAAGACAAAATTATATGGATGTGTCTTGATTCAGGCAACAGCCTAGAATCTGCTTTTATACAATATTTTCTCTTTCTTTATGTGAGAATACAAGAAAACCTGTGTACATTAAACATGCTTTCAACTTCAACAGCTGACATGAACGAAGATCATATTCTGGTATTTCAATGCAACCAAGAAAGTATTCTTATCTTTCATACTCTGAAAAATTTTAATCCCATACCTACTAGGGTAGACCACTGAATCAATGGGATTTACATACATGTTGACTTATAATTCAATAATTGATTCATTGGTTCTAGTCTACCTGGGTCTAGAGCAGGGGTAGGCAACCTAAGGCCCAGGGGCTGGATGCGGCCCCCCAAGTCCTTTGGACCGGCCCCAGGCCAATCCTGCTGCCGCCCCTCGCCGCCACCGCCACCCGCCATGATGACATTGATTATTGTTGTTAGTTCTTGGAGTTTTCTTGGCAAAATCTACACAGGGGTTTTGCCATGGTTTTTCTGGGGCTGAGTGTGCATGCATATTTTTTTTATTTTTTTTTAATAATTTTATTTTTATTTATTTATTTATTTTTGGTGCTTTGGCCCCCCAATTATCTGAGGACAGCAACCCGGCCCCTGGCTCAAAAAGGTTGCCTACCCCTGGTCTAGAGTTTGGATTTGGTATTGATTGATTGATTACGGTCATATCCTACATATCAACCAATGGAATAAAGGTGGCATACAAGCTTCTCCTCCTCCTCCTCCTCCTCCTCATTTTCTTAGTTTCACAGCAACCCTGTGAAGTAGGTCAGACTGAGGGACTGAGGGACAACTGACCAACTGACCTGTTCTCTCATGTCCTAGTCCTAACCATAGCCACAATATCATAAATTTCAAAGGTTCAGGTTTAAAACCAGCTCTTAACAGTCCCCAAGTACCTCTTTATATGCTCTTATTAGAAGTGGAAACCTAGCAGAAACAGTCTGCTAAGACAGCATAATCAGTGGAGGAACTCATTCTTTAGAAAACCTTTCTGATGGTTCCACTAGCTAACTCCTCTAACAATTTTCATTGTCCAGTAAAAAGATAGTAGGAGGAACCCTCAGAAAGGTTTTCTAAAGAATGGATTTCTCTACCGATGATGCTTTGTTTTAGAAGACTGTTTTTGCTAGGTTTCTCCTTATGATAAGAGCATATAAAGCATTAGTGTATTTCTTATATATGACAAGAGCAGCAATAGTATTTGGAATAAAATGAAATTTTAGAAATGGACTAAAGCACCAATGTCAAAAGAATGGATTGTTAAAATTGCTGACTTAGGGCCTTTACAGACTGCCAGGATTAGTGAAAATTGAGGCCACTTTAACTATCCTGACTCACTGCTAAGGAATCATGGGAACTGAGAAGGCTCAATGTCCCAGAAAAAATACAATTCCCATGATCCCCTAGCACTGAGCCAGGACAGTTAAAGTGGCCTCAATTTGCACTATTTTTGGCAGTCTGTAAAGGCCCTTAGTCTAAATAGCCAAATTAATGTGGGTTCTAAAGGATAAGCCAACTGAAGACTTTTTGAAAGACTGAAAACCATCTATGGATTTTTTGTGCAATAAGAAATCTAACAATGTGATAATTTATGGCTATGTTTTTTTAGTACTTTTTGTAGGATTATTTAGCTGGATCTGTAATGGTAGAATAATTCCCCCCTTTTTTATTATAGTCAGGATGGAGAAGTCACAGCCCTATTGTGCATTAGTTACATGTCCTTTTTTCTTTCTTTTTTTTCTTCTCCTCTCTTTTCTGTTTTTTTATTTCCTGTTTTTAACAGAGAGGCGGGGTATAAATAATAATAATAATAATAATAATAATAATAATAATAATAATAATAATAATAGATTAGATTGCTTATGTTAAAAATTAATTTTAAAAGTTAGTGTATTTCTTGGGTACTTTGAAAACAGAAAAAAAGTTTGAAATTTTACTGCATTAGAATAAAATTATCAATAATCTAATGAACAAGCAAATTTTGCGACAAAAGAGTTAAACATATACTTCTATTTTAATTAAAGTTAGAGTTAGAAATAGTGTGACAAAGTGATTTAAGAATCTGATGAACAATCAAATACTTCGAGTTTAATTAAACCAGGGATAGAGCCAGTGTGGATAGTGGTTTGAGTGTTGGACTATGACTGTGGAGACCAGGCTTCAATTCACAGCTCAGCCATGAAACCTACTAGATGGCTGTGGGCAAGTCCTATGCTCTCAGCCTCAGGGAAAGGCAATGGCAAACATCCTCTGAACAAATCTTGGGGAAAAACCCCAAAAAACCCATGATAAACCTTAGGGTCACCATAAGTCGGAAATGATTTGAAGACACAACACATAAGTAAAATGCAAATGTATTATAAAAGAGTTTTGAACATGGATGTGATGGAAAATATGTATGGTACAAGCAGCTGCTCTCCTTAAGAATTTTCGACTAAACTACATTTGACTGAACCATGCTGATGTATCATATAGAGTACTGACTATTTAAATACACTAGAAAATCAAAATTAAATTAATTAAAATAGAAGTATATGTTTTATTTAAGAGGAGAAAGTTGTACGTACATTGCATGATCAAAGTGCTAAAGCAACTAGACATATTGGGGGGAAATGCTAGCAGGATTAAGCAGGAACCTAGTACTAGAAACATGGTGGAGTAACAATTCAACACAGAACAATACACAGTTTACATGGGAATAGCAGACAATATCCTGGATTGCATAGCCTGAAGCTATGCCATTAACACAGTACAATACCTATTCAACACAGACAACACACAGTTCACCTGGGAACCACTCCTCTCTATCCAGGGTCTCACAGTATATATACACCCAGGCCTTTCCATTTCAGTTTTCTCTGAAGATGCTAGCCATAGATGCTGGCGAAACGTCAGAAAGAAACTCTTCTAGAACATGGCCACACAGCCCGAAAAAACCCACAAAAAATCTGGCAGCATCCACAGTGCTGAATTTTGCACATACTATTTTCAATGATTTTAAGCAGGGCCAAAATCTAATAACTGGTTCTGGGACTGCAAATAAAAACCACACTATATTATGGCTATAAAATCCATGAAAAACATATTAACAAAATGTGGATCTATGATGCCCTCTGCTGTCCTTCTGTTAAATCTGTTAAAGACAGTCATTTGTCCAAATAATATAGAGCTGAGTGGGGAAAACAGGTGTTGTTTTTTTAAAAAAAAAAAAAAAAAGCAAACAAAACTAGATTTAAACTAGATTTTTTTTTTGTTTTGTTTTGTTTAAACCAGTCCCTCCCTCCCATTAATGTATAGGATTACACATACTGTATATGGGACTAAATCAGAAAATTAAGTAACAAAATGCAGTTCAGATGTCATGGCCACTAGCTTAAATAATAATTGTTGTTAAAAAGTGCTCTTTTAAAGCAAGTTGTTTTGGTTGCATAATGTTAACTGAAGGATTTGTTTCTGAATGGCACTTCTTGCACTATAAAATAAAGTTATTAAAAAGAAACAACCAACACTGGATAATGACCTAACAATGAACAACTACCAATAAACTGTCCAAGTTAAAGTGGTTAAATTCAAACAGGAGGAAATTTTGAAGGAGAAGTGCTCATCTGTTACAATTTATTATTATTACAGGGTGCTTCAAAAAGAATAGTGCAAAACCAAGTAAGAACAGCTTTTCTTTTGCACTATAATTTTTGAATCACTCTGTATGTAGTCATTCAGTGGGGTGGGGGTGGATTATTTCTCTGTAAATGTAAAGGTAAAGGTTTCCCCTTTGACAAGATTGTCTAGTCGTGTCCAACAGTAAGAGGCAATGCTCATCTCTGTTACTAAGCCGAGGAAGCCAGTGTTATCAAAGATGACTCTGCGATCATGTGGCCAGCATGACTGCATGGAACGCTGTTACCTTTCCACCAAAGTGGTTCCTATTTATCTACATGCACTTTTACATGCTTTCAAACTGCCAGGTTAGCAGAAGCTGAAACTAGTGATGGAAGCTCACCCCACATAATCCCCTGGATCAAGAGTCAATGTTAACTTCTCTTGATCCCAAGTACAGAGCCTTGGATTTGTTGATAACGCTGCCAGTTCTGACATCCTTCCTGCAGATGTTATAGTCACCAAAAACACTACTTTGAAAGTCAATAGTCTTAATAAGGTTTCGTTAATTGGCTCAGATGGTGGAATTATCGATATGTTCAACACTGTATTTCAGTTCCATGTTGGAAGCATATGTATAGTTGCTGTTGCTTTTAATGTGAGGATGAGATGACAATGCCTCATCTTCAGGGTTAATTGTTGTGCCCAATACAGCAGTTTGCCTTTATCAACCCAGCCTTGTAAAAAGGATAATATAGCCTTTATTTGAATTGCATTTGTGTGTGTGTGTGTCTGTGTGTGTGTCATTTCCAGCTTATAGTGACCCTAAGGTAAAACTATCATGGGGTTTTCTTGGCAAGAGTTGTTCAGAGTAGGTTTGCCATTGCCTTCCCTTGAGGCTGAGAACATGGGACTTGCCCAAGGTCACCAGTGGTTTCATGGCCAAGCAGGAATTGAACCCTGGTCTCTAGAATCGTAGTCCAATGCTCAAACCACTATGCCACTCTGGCTCTCTATTTATGTCTACTTTTGTGATTCACATCAATTGGACAACACTTTCCCTATCATACTACACATTCTTTGAGTTGGTAGTTTCCTAGACAACAACATAGGGCCTTTACAGACTGCCAGAAATAGTAAAGCTTGAGGCCACTTTAACAGTCCTGGCTCAGTGCTAAGGAATCATGGGAACTGTAGTTTATTCTGGCACCAGAGCTCTCTGACATAGAAGGCTCAGTGTCCCAGAAAAAATACAATTCCCATGATTCCCTAGCACTGAGCCAGGACAGTTACAGTGGCCTCAAGTTGCACTATTTCTGGCAGTCTGTAAAGGCCCATAATCTCCATCACTAAACCTATATAACCACTGTTCTAAATTTTCCTTTCAATGTCCAGTGAGATTCAACCATTTGGGATTCTGATGAATAATAGGGTCCTGATGTAAAAGGTCTGGCCAACTTGGTAGATAACAAAACACGCGGCGGAGGTGGCAGGTGGCAGCAGCAGGGGTCGGCGGGGCCGGTAAGCAGCGGTCAACAGGCCGGAATCAGCCCACGGGCTGTAGGTTCCCGACCCCTGATCTAGACACTGTTGTAGCAGTTATACTACAAGCTGCAAAAGTAGCCGAATCATGAGTCACATCTGCAATAAACTGCAGAGCTTTTTGAATTCTTTGAGCTGCTCTTATTAAAACATGTTTATCAATTTCTGTGTCCTCTCATTTATCTTGTGTCCACAATACTGCCACTCTTGCAAACATTAAGGCAGCAACTGAAGATCCAATTGCCAATGTGAATGCCTCATGTAACCTTTCCAGTGCCTCCTCCATCCTATACTCATCCATCTCTCTTACACAGGGGTAGGCAACCTTTCCCCATTAAGGGCCGAGGGACTTCAGCTCCCAGAATCCCAGGAGCTATTGGCCAACATGGGACTATTGTCCAACATGGCTGAGGCTTCTGGGAGCTGAAGTCCCTCGGCCCTTAAAGGGGAAAGGTTGCCTAACCCTGAGCTACAGTGTGAGAAATCAATAATGAAATTGAGGCATTAACCAGTGGGACCTTAAGGTACTCCATGCCACCTTTCTTATAGATGTAAAGCTTCTACCCATATCCTAAAAGCTTCTTAGCAGTCAATGGAATTTTCCATTTTAAGGGTATTATCTCCTTGAACATTTCTGGTAATGACAACTCAATTCCTTATGGTGGTAGTGTTTTCATCACTGTTGCAATCTTACTGCTCTTGCCTTCCTTACTTTTTCCTGCTCTATCTGTTCATGTGTTTCATCCAACTGTAAGGTATGTAAAACACTTTTTAGTATATGTTTAAAATTTCCCATGTCAAAGCCAGAGGACCACCTGTTGCTTTTGCAAAGGAATAAAATCTGGGTACCTGCTGTGGTGGGCCTGCCACAGCCATGGTGGCCTCCAAAGGAGGTAACACCAAAGGAGTGTTCTGTAAGGTAGATATGCATCTTGTTCTCTAAGGTAGATATGCATACATGTAGGACCAGAAGTACTATGAAGTAAGATACCATTTCATTGGTTTGCATTTGCACACCAGATCTTATGCCTTACTTTCCTTAATCTACATGCTTTAGTGCTGGACTATGACCTGGCCACCAGAGTTCAAATCCTGACTCAGCCATGGAAACACACTTGGTTACACTCTCTTAGCCTCAGAGGATGGCAATGACAAATCCCCTCTGAAGAAACTTGCCAAGAAAACCCCATGATAGGGTCAACGTAAGTTGGAAATTACTTGAAAGCACACAACACCAATGACAAGGAAACAGAATCAAGATAGGACTAAGCTAATGGAATAAACTTGGTTCTGTGGAACATAATAATGGCCAAAATCTAGACTACAGCATCTGCTTCTCATGCCAGATACTGAATTCACCTATAAGAGAAGACAGGATTCGTCTTTAGCATAAATCAAAGGCAACTTGCAAGGCTGGTAAGTAAAGGAGGGAAGGGGATGGAGATTAAACACTCCACTGAGAGATAACACTACAGTCAAAGCAAAATTTGTCTAGGAAGAAGAGAATAGGATGGTACACCTATGTACTGTATGTTTGCAGTCACAGCCATGGGTTCTTTGCAAAATACAGGTACTTCCTTCATCTAAAAAATGCCACAATGACAGGTTATTTCAGGAAGAAATATGAATGAGATGCAATTGAACAGATTGTTTAAAGGCAAAGACTTACTTTGTCAGATGAATCAGAAGCAAGGAGGTTTGTAGCAAGAGTCTGAAGTTTTTGGTGGGCCATATTCTTTAGTGCAGCAAGGCTGCGTCTGGTCATGGCCTGTTTTAAGTTGACAGCAGGATGACTAAGAGAATCGACTGCAGCAGGCACAGCCTCATCACAAGCATTCAAGATCTCAACAGCTGTTATTCCCATTACACAGCGGTCAAGTGCACCTTGAAAAGATACCGGGAAACTGTGAAGAACACTGGCTATAACAGAAATAAATTTAAATTTTACAAAATTTGCAACTCAATCATGTTGTATCACCCTTTCATGGAGGAGTAAAGTAATTTCTCTGTATTCAGGAACTCTTAAGCAACTATGCTACTATGTAAACACTGTATATATAATCCAGAATCTAGTCCACACAATACGCCCACCCAACATCAGTTTTATGTGTCATTGGCCCACTGGGTCAATGTATCAAATCAAATCCTACTTTTGCCACATTTGTTAAAGTGTCACAACTGTTTTGGCATTGAAAAATATTTATATGAAGGTCAAAATGATAATAAAATGCTTAGCCAAGGCGTTTTATGTATTTTAAATAATAGAATTCTACTACACTTGCATATGTTGCAGTTGTAAGGTGTGAGGAATGAGGAATGAGAAGATCAGGAAAAGAACCTAGAAAACTGACAGCTTCGCAATGCATATAACAGGAGTGGGATAACGCTGATAACTGTATACCTTTCTATCCTTGGGAACATTTTATTCAGACTTGGAAAACCACAATTTTCACATGTTCCCAAGAGAGTGCCCTACCAAGCCTGTTAATTATTGTTCTGATATTAGTCTACAGGCCTTATTAGCTAAATACTAGAAATAAATAGTAATAGTAACAGTAACAGTAACAGTAACAATAACAATAACAATAACAATAATAATAATAAACTATTTATACCTCGCCTTTAACCGAGGCTGTCAAGGCAGCTAACAAATTAAAAAGAATAACACCCATACAGTCAACAACGAATCTCCCCTTAAAAACATATTAAATCATTATACAGATTAAAATCTCATTTGCAATAAAACATTAAACATCTAAAATGAATGGACAGTGGCATTATAGATATCTCAGAAGGAGCTATCTAATGGCGGGGGGAGAATGTGTTATTCCGGGATTAGTTGATGTGTTCAACTAATTTTTTTTTAATAGAACAAATTGCTAAAAAAAACAAGCCTCTCTGATCAAGAAGAATACTTAATACAAAGGTAGTCATGTGGATCATGGAAAAAAATTATTGTATTAGGCAAATACCTTTATTAAGCAAATTCAAAGGTCACAAGACAGTGGGGCTATATCTTTGAAAATCTTCAGAATTTTCTACACACACACACACACACACTCACAAATACACATATAATATTCCAGAAATGAACATCTGCCTATGGGTGCATGACACTGGCATAAGTTCGTACTGCAGAAATGAACACTGACATAAGGGACATAAGAATTCTCCCATCTGTACGACTCAATGGCATATCCCAGCTATTCAAAAAGGTATGCCAATATTCCAGAGCACAATGGATCAGAAAACCCATTGTACTGATGGCCATCCATTCACACAACTACGCATTTTAGCAGTTTTTAAAAATTAATAATGATAATAATAATAATAATAATAATAATTTATTTATTTGTACCCCACCCCTCTGTGCATAATCAGGGCAGCTAACAACAATTAAAAATATATACAATATAAATCCAAAAAGAACCAAAAACCACCCACCCCTTAAAAAAGCATTAAACCAAACACAATTAAAACATCTTAGATCAAAATAACATACAATAAAATAAAACCATAAACAGCAAAATATAATGGGACAAGCACAGCAGTGGCAGCATCCAAATTGGAGAGGGCAGAATAAGGGGGTTCCTGAGGCTGAGAATCTATTCTGGAAAGGCCTGCCAGAAGAGATCCGTTTTAACATCTGGATTACTGCAATGCACTCTACATAGGGCTACCCTTGTGCCTAACCCGGAAACTTCAACTGGTACAGAATATGGCAGCCAGGCTGATCACAGGAACATCAAGGAGGGAGCACATAACACCAGTGCTGAAATCCCTCCACTGGCTGCCGATTGGTTTCCGGGCACAGTACAAAGTGTTGGTTTTAACCTTTAAAGCCCTACATGGCTTGGGTCCATCTTATCTTAGGGACCGCCTTTCCCCATATGATTCCCCTCATGCCCTCCGGTCCTCTGGGAGGAATCTGCTACAGCCAATAAAAACTAGGTTGTCCCAGACCTCCCAGAGGGCCTTCTCCGCAACCGCTCCCAGACTTTGGAATGGCCTGCCGGACGAGATCCGTCTTATTACCACTCTTGCTGCTTTTAAGAAAGAAGCAAAGACGGATCTCTTTCGGCAGGCCTTCCCAGAATAACCGTCGGCTTAGAGATGGGTCCCTGATTTGTTAATCT